TATCCAGTCCAAAAAGCCCAAACCCAAATAGTGTAACAGACTAACAGTGTGTGTATAACCAAAGCCCAAATACTCATTTTATCATTTATCAATATACCGGGTACGGGGAGGGGCGGGGGATACAATACCCGGCCCCAGCCCCAATCCCGGTTTGCCTCTATCGGGAATCCCCGGCCCCGGTACCCGTTTTAGCGGGGAATCCCCGTCCCCGTCGGGTGAACCGGGTTCCCCACCGGGTCGGGGCAAATCACCATCCCTAGGTAAACGCTTACCGAGTAAGTGTTTCAGTAAACGGCCCCTTACTAATTGTGTCAAATTACAACATAATGTAAAATTAATCGAAAACCGTAAAATGGTTTTAATGCGATTTACCGTTTACAAAATTTATTGAGCGTATATTATATTATTGGGTCAAACATTTCTTTTTATATAAACATGTTTATCAATTAATTTTATTAAATTTAAATATAAATTTTTAAGAAATTATAAAACTGAATGTTGACATAAGATGATCTAATAAGCAGTACATTAACACTTAATAACTTATTTCTAATATAGCATAAATAAAAAATCAAATTTGAATAACATACAAATACAATAATAAATATAAATTAAATGATCATATGATAAATCAATATAAAAGAATTTTGTTTTTGTTATAAGATAAATGTGTCATCGTCTAAAAGATATAACGATAGAGATAAAGATAGATATACTAGAGATAAATTAGAAGTAAAATGTATCAAACTTATCTACTTATAACTTATCCATATAAAAAAAGCTTATGATTAATGAAAATTACATATTCCTTTTCTTTATTATATTGTTGTTCTTTTTCAGTTATTCTATAACACGTTATCAACATGTAAAGCTCAAAATTATTTTTCGCTACTGCTAAAAGGTTGTTGCAGCCACTGTTGAACGACTTGTTGCAAAATTGCATCGTTACTTCGTTATCCCTGCTCATTGCCAGTTGCCATGACCATCAAAAAAATTCTAGTAAGCTTTCTATCAACTTCTTTGTAAGTGAATATTATAAAATCATGTTAAAAAAAAATACAATTTATGATTTAATTTATAAAATATTTTGTTTATATTTTCATTGTTATATAAACTGAATTAAAAAAAATGTAGACAAATCGAGTTTATAATTATTTAATTTTTTAATAAAATAATTAAATAGTAATGGGTATCAATGTACAAAAGATTACAATAATTTATACGAGATTTGCATTGTGATTTTCATGTAATTTTTTAATAAATAATTAAATAGTTATAGTTTTTTTATTTGTAAAGAAAAATAGAAATAAATGCGACGGGATCACATCTAGCCTATGGATTTTTAAAATTAATTAAATAAAGGTTTAATTTATTTCCTTATTAACCACTTATTGGATTTTTATTTAATAAATATTTATTACATTAATACTATTTTATTTAATATCATTTCACTTTAGTTGATATCTTATAATAATATTATTTATTAATTTATTTTATCGGATATATATTTAATTTAACTATCAACATCATTATTTATATAACTCGATGTATTTATTATTTATTTATGTTATTCTTAATTATAATTAACAATCTTAATAAACTTTTAGAAATTACACTTCTAGCTCTCATAACTTTTAGTCTTTTACCAAAACCTCCAAAAAATTAACATAAAAATGTCAAAATATTATTCAAACGTTTATCTTGATTATGGGTAGGGAGGATGATTTGCCCCGACCTGATGGGGAACCCGGTTCCTCTGACCTGAATGGAGACTGGGATTCCCGGCTAAAACGGGTTCCGGGGTCGGGGATCTCCGGTAGACTCAAACCGAGGCCGGGGCCGAAGGATGTTACTCAAACCGTGGTCGGGGTCAGGAATCCCCAGTAGAATCAAATTAAAGGATATTATTTATGGGATTTGACTGAAGATTGATAGAGGTTTGACTGGGTACGGGATGTTAATCCCCGTACTTGCAGGGGACGGGGACCGGGGCCGAGGCCGGGGAATGTTACTTCAAATCGGGGTCGGGGATTACAAAACTCGCCCCATCCCTGTCCCGTTGCCATGCCTAATTATGGGTTCCCACTCATTGTTTTCAAGCTTAACTAACTTTTGGAAATTATACTTCCAACCCCATGTATTTGGGTTTCAAAATCTCTCAAAATATTATTAAGAAACTAAAAGTTTAAATTTGACTTTTTGCCAAAACCAATATTATCTAGCCCCTCATGGTAAAATCTCTCAAAACACCATTAAAGTATTAAAACATTGTAGTTGGCTTCATATGTCAAACTCATATTCCTTTTGGTCTCTTGTCGAAACCTCCAAAAATGTCATTATGTTGTTAAATTATCTACATTTGATCTCATCTCTTGACCTCATTCTAAAATCATTAATATTATCTATGTACTTTATAAATGATTAATCACAAGATATTGATTTTTTTTTTGTCAAACGGGTGTATGTTATGATAAAGAAATTTCATACATAAAGTAATAATTATGAACTATAATTAATTGTGCACCATCACTCATTTGACTCAGCACAAGGGGAATTGTAGTAGATAAGTGTGTTATCGTTTAAAGGATATGAAAATTAAGATAGAAGAGTTAAATTAAAATTGAAATATTTTATAGTTATCTACTTGTAACTCATCCATATAAAAAGGGTTTAATCATCTCTCTATTCTATTGTTGTTCTTTTTCAGTTATTCTCTAACAGTTTTCAAATTAAATTATTAGAAAGATTTTTAAAAGATTTGAATTTTACAACAATGCATTATACTATTTTAAATCAAAGCTGAAATATGGGTATTAGGGTCTTTAGTGGAACCACAAGATCCCAAGTTGTTGATTTATTTGGAGACCAAACTCATTAAAAAACTGCAATAGTAAGAATGCAACTTGTTAATAAATGCAACCATAAAGACACAATCCATTGATTTACTTTTATACCCCTATAATTAGTTAATTAATTTACTTTACGTTTTTTACTTTTAAATATTTCATTTTAAACTTTTATCAAATTAATATACATAATCGTATATCAATTAAAACATGTTTAAACAATATATTTTTATTTTAACAAGTTACATCATTATAATCGTCTCGTTAATACCTTCGAAATGAGTCCAATATTGAATAGTTTTTGACGTAATTATATTATTATATATTATATATATTGTGAAAAAATATTTTTAATATTTACGATTTATACTTTTATAGTTATTTATTTATATATATACTATATATTTTGGGGTTAGGCTGTCCAAATTGCACTGTATAATATGTTCTAAATTAATATGTTCTTGGGTTTTTTTTGAAATATAAATATATACATGTATTAATTCAACCTTAATATGAGTTTATGGACAAGAAAGAGGGTAAGCAGTTGAAATTTCATTCTAAAACCCATTTTTTTGGTCTTTTCATGTCTTATGATCTGTCAAATTTGTAGTTTTTTTTATTGGTTTTGAGTGTTTATCTTAAAACTCAAGTTTCTTGGTTCTTTGCTCTTGGTGTAAATCSAACACATTTGTGGAGTCGTTTAAATATGTTGGATTTTAAACTGTCATCAATTTTTTTCATCGATAGTCTGTAATTGGAACCATAACTCTTATTTATTCAAATTGTATTAATAGGTAAAGACCAAGTGTAACATATATCATCTTTAAATCTTATCTTATAAAACCAGTGGAACTTCAAAATCATTAAATTCATGGCTCCCGCCGAATTGCACGGATACACAACTAGTATATATATATATATATATATATATATATATATACACACACATATATATACTACATTTGGTCAATAAAATCCGAAATACTAGTCACAACTCACAATTGCCCCTTGTCAAATCCGTCATTTAGTTGTCAAATCAACCAAAAAATACGTCATAATTTGTCTTCACTAGAATCCAAAATAACAGGTAAAAATCTCCTCTAGGACAATTTTCACATTCCAGGGACGATTTATAAGAATTCTAAAAAAAATCATATTTTATTAATCCCGAATAGTATACATGTGGGACCCATCCATATCTTATTGGGAAAATCGCCCTCTATGAAGGACGATATTTGTGTCCGTTTTGTGAGTAAAAGCTGAAAAGTAGGGCTGACAATGGGTAAGAGTAAACTCGTTATCCGTTATGTTTCGACCAGTTGGATAAGAATATGGATAAATAAGATTTTATCCATTACCCGACATTTTAATGGATAAGGTATAGATAAAGTGTTTTTCGTAATCTATTTAACTGTTACCCATTTATATATATGTATATACGCACACATACATATACATACATATAATTATATGAAATTAAATATTAATATATTTTTTACAATATTATCTATATGTTGTATTACATGTATTAATTGGTATTTAATTTTCTTTTCATATTCGTCAACTAAAAGAGTTAATTAGGATAATCAAACAAGGAACAATATAAAGTCGTTAAAATAAATATAACAAACATAAATGTTGTCATTAGATTTTCATATTGTTGTGTAAAATATCACATTATAACATATTTAAAACAATATCATAATATTTATTGGAACAAATTAAATATAAAATAAAAATTATATTTATGAACTTATATTTTTTCTTATATGTTGATGTTTAATAATATTATGCGAGTTTAAAATGATTTTTCTACCATTTATCCATTACCCGTTATTTTAGTGTGTAGGGTGTCAATATAAATAGGAGTTTAATGATATAAATAATTATGTTTCAAAAGTGGTGACTCTGGACTATCTATAAAACATGTGATCGTCCTAAAATTAATCGGCTTACATAACGGATTAGATATCCAGAATTTTAAAATAGATTAATCTTTACCCTATCCATTACAAAGTATATTGAAAAGCGGTCATTTCGGGTAATTTACGGTGGAATACAAACCAAGGTTTCAAAAATAGATCTAAATTTTAGGAAAATGTAAGAGAGTTAAATCGGTGACTGATTTCTTGGATTACTATCCAAACACCATTTCTGCCGGAACTCACTCGTTCATACTCTCTATCAAGCAACGAAGTTGAGGTAATCTTCTGGATTCTTAGATCTCAATGGCTTTCTCTTCGATTTCTAGTTTGAAACATAACAAATCTGATACTTGAAACAAGTCTCCATGTTTCCTTTTGCTGCACCTACGGATCACCGCTTCTTAGTTCATTTCAGATCTTTGTTTCTTAGATATTGACTTGTTGATCTTCAATTTTGTGTTCGTTTATGTTAATTTGTTAGTTTGTTTGTAGGGTTTTAACATGTTTTAGGGGTTTCATGCTTTTTTTAGGTTAAATCTGTTTAGCTTCTTAAAGGCTAGATTTATATTGCTTTTTAAACTTAGATTTCAACTTGCATGTTTCAGGAGGACAGTTCGAAGTGAAATTTGTGGTACGAGTTTGCACCTTTTTGGCGTTATATGGGTTTTTAGCAGATAAAAAAGGTTGGTTTGTGGGTTTAATTGGGATTAATTTCTAATGTCTCTTCTATTTATGCTTTGAGAATTGTGGGTTTATTTGGGAAAGTTCTAGTTTGGTAATTTTTGAAGAGGGTGTGTGTGATTGAGATTGATGGAAGACAACTTAGGTTCAGATTCGGTTCCTTCTGGTCCTATTGACAAATCAAGGGTTTTGAATGTTAAGCCATTGAGATGTCTTGTTCCAATTTTCCCATCTGGTTCATCTGCAACACCACAGTCTTCACCATTTGCATTTGTATCTCCAACTGGTTCATTTCCCCCTGGAGTTGGACACTTTTACCCCTTTGCTACAAATGAGTCTCAGAGGCAAGCCAATGGACCCAATCATGGAAGATCTTACCCCATCCCTTCACCAGTCCCTTTGAATTCCTTTAGAACACCAGCCTCAGCAGCAACCAATGGTGGCAAAGGGACGTCGAAAAGGAGCTCCAAGAATCATGGATCATATAACGATGAATATATTCAAAATGATGGTTTTGAGAACGGTTTCATTGTGGATATGGGGGATAGCAGTGATGCCATCAGGCAAAAACGTAAAATCCGCAAAAGTATGAGAGGTACACAAGCGGTGGCTGTTTCTAGTTCTGAGGTTGACATTGATCCATTGGTTAATCATCTCTTGAGATCTTTCAATCTTGTGGACATTGACCCATCTCGACAAGCTGAGAGTGATAACGATTTGGTCCAACGTGTGGTCATCGTCTATAATTTGCTGAGGAGAAAGATAATACAACTTGATGATTCAAAGGGAGTTATACCCGGGATTTCAAGACGGGCCGACTTGAGGTCAGGCACAATCTTGATGAATAAGGGAGCTCGGGCTAATACCAAAAGACGGGTTGGCGCTGTTTCTGGTGTCAATGTTGGTGACGTTTTCTTTTTCCGAATGGAGCTATGTTTGGTGGGATTGCACGCTCCTATTATGGCCGGAATAGATTACCTGAGTTTTAAGGTCAGTGGTGATGAAGAGCCGATAGCTGTCAGTATCGTTTCCTCCGGCGGATATGAAGATGACGGAGATGATGGGGAAGTTCTAGTTTATAGTGGTCAAGGTGGTGTTCAAAGAAGTGATAAACTACTGATGGATCAAAAGCTTGAAAGGGGTAATCTTGCTTTGGAAAAAAGCTTGCACCGAGCTAATGAGGTACGGGTTGTTCGTGGTCTTAAGGATGTAGCAAGTGCAACAGGAAAAGTATATGTCTACGATGGCGTATACAAAATCCACGAATCATGGATCGAAAAAGGGAAATCTGGTTGCAATGTCTTCAAGTACAAATTGATTAGAGTTTCTGGTCAACCTGAAGGATTTACGTTATGGAAGTCAATTCAGCAATGGAGAGATGGTGTTACCACACGGGTTGGGGTTATCCTTCCCGACCTTACGTCTGGCGCCGAAAATGTACCTATTTGTCTTGTAAACGACGTAGATGACGAAAAGGGACCCGCTTATTTTACGTACTCTCCCAGTCTCAAGTATTCAAAACCATATTCTTCTTCCAAATCTTCGTTAAACTGTAGATGTTCAAATGGATGCCAACCTGCCACCAACTGCCCTTGCATCGAAAGAAATGGTGGATATCTTCCATATTCGACGGCTGGTGTTCTTCTGAGTCATAACTTATTGGTTCACGAGTGCGGTTCTTCTTGTTTATGCCCTCCTAGCTGCAGAAACCGAGTTTCCCAAGTAGGTCTAAAACTCCATTTAGAAGTGTTCAAAACAAAGGATAAGGGTTGGGGACTTAGGTCGTGGGATCCCATCCGAGCTGGAGCATTCATATGTGAATATGCAGGTGAAGTGGTTGAAAATGGAAATGATAGTGACGATAACTACATATTTGATGCTACCCGTTCTTTTGAACCGCTTGAACCAGTGCCGACTGACGAGCCCGTAAAGCTTCCGTTTTCCCTAATCGTCAGTGCCAAAAATAAGGGAAACGTGGGTCGTTTTATGAACCATAGCTGCTCACCTAACGTCTATTGGCAACCAATTTTGCGTGAAAACAACCGAGAATCATATCTCAATGTTGGATTTTATGCATTCAAGCACATTCCTCCTATGCAGGAATTAACATTTAACTACGGAATTCCGAGGGATCAGAAACCTGGACCACGAAGAAATAAGTGTTTGTGTGGATCGACAAAGTGCAAAGGTTACTTCTACTAGCCGTCTGCATGAAGTTAGCAAAGTTGATGTCTCTTGTAAAAGGTTAGCGTTCTCGTTTTACGTCTAGTAAGTTGTTTAGTGCATTTTTTTGGGTATTTGCTACATTTTGGTGTGCTAATTGTAGGTAATCTGAAGTCAGTAGCGTAATATGGTTTGTTTTCATCCCTAGAAGTTAAGTTATCTGATTCATCCTTTGCTTATCTTGAGTACTGTTAACTCTTTTGATCTATAATCCTACATAAGTTCTAGTAGTATGAGTTTATGTTTATGCAATATTGAATCTTGAAGAAGTTTCTTGAGGTGGATTATGTGTATTGGCGATTCAAAAGGATGGTAGCATTCAATCTGATTCTCAGTTTGGCAATCGTGTTTGCACGGCAAATTGATACTGCAAACAACCAGTCCTGATAGACTTAGTGGCCACAATTGTTGTGTACGTCTGGAATCGAAACCTACACAGATGAGATATTCAACCACTACGCCACAACCTTTGCGGTTAAGGCATGCTAGCGTTATTAGGCTATGTTTGGCAGATTAGTTGATTGTTGTTAAGCTAGACGTTAGAGGGTAAGGTGATAATTAAGATAACAATGTAAAATAATCTCCAAAAATATACATACAAGGGGCATAACTGATAAGTTAGTTGTTGGCTAATAAGCTAGTTATTGACTAATGAGTTTGTTATTAATTGATAAGCCAACTAATAAACAAGTCATGTTTGGTAAAAACTGATTTGCTAGATGTAAATATACAATAACCTAAAAAGAGATCATAAGGGAGAATTATGTTAAAAATATAAGGGGTATAACTGGAAAACTAATTTAAAACCACTTTGACTCGATTTCTGTTTAGAAAACAAACTTTAAAAATTATCATTTAAAAGTCTAAAACAAGGTTTTTGGTTTATTTAAGAGTCTAAAACAAGGTTTTTGGTTTATTTAAGAGTCTGATGACTTGCTTGACCTCTTAATGATAATTTGGCTTTAAGTATTTTGCCAACTATGGTTTCATGTAATGATTAAATTTATAAAAGAAATTTAAATAATTATATGGCACAAATAATTATGACGTGGCACATAAAACTTATTTTACTTAAAAAGTAAATTCCACGTCATGTTTTAAAATAAAATAAAAAACCATTGAGCAAGTGTATTTTAATCTTATTTTGTTTTTCTAATAAAAACAAATACTATTTAAATGAAAAAGAAAAGTCAAACACGCCCAAGGCCCAAACCCGTAATCCCTTCACCTTCAATAATGATGGCCAAACCGGACCGGGTACCGTCGGAGGACTGGAACCGTGACCGGCAAGGGACCGGTTGGGGGTTTTTGGCAGTTTTGTAGGACCGGGACCGGTTATGGACTGGTCATGCCCGACCCAAAAATTCAAATAATTTTATAAATAAATGTACTTTTAAATAGTTTTATAATGTATATTTTATATTAACCTGGATATCCAATCCGCTATGTGAGCCGATTAATCCCAGGACGATCACTTGCTTTGCAGATAGCCCGAAGTCACCGCATTTGAACCTCCGTGGCCACAAAAGGATTTTTAAATAATGTATTTTTTTAAGACAACGTAATCTTAATTATATTAAACCGCATTTTTAAAGTGTATTTGAGTGATCCAATTACAAATTTTATAATGTAAAAAAAAAATATTTTTTAATGCAATCGGGACCAGGACCGGCAGCCCATAACCGGTTATGAAGAACCTTGACCGGTTTTACCATTTTTGACCGGGACCGGTTATGGCAGGTTACGAGAAAACTTGGGACCGATTAGGACCGGCCCGGCCCGGTCCGGGACCGGTTTTTGGCCATTACTAATCCTCAACGTCTACAACTCCGGCGAGCGGGTGACCCTAAAATTTAGCCACCTCAAATTGTGACAACCTTCACTTGCAAACTCCGGTGACCCCCAAATCGAGACCACCTTCACCTGCCCTCCTCTTTGTTGTTCTCCATCATCCCATTGCCAATCTTTTGCCGCCGTTCAGGAACGTTCCAATCTTTTATAGGTCCAGCTACATCCATATCTTTTAATTACATCACGTAAATGAGACAACAGAGATACATGTTGAGGATAAAAATGGGCTAAATCTAAATAATTAACAATCTGAACCTAACCCTAAACTATAAATTATTTGAACCTAAACCCAAATAATTAATAATTTGAACCTAAACAAATTTGGTTATAACTTTACACGGGTCGATGAAATATCCTAAACACATTTACTGTTCAAAATCTCACGTTTAACATGTTAAAGGACGGCCCTACCATCGATATCCATCACCCGACCGCCACTCTTCTTTCTTCTCTGTCGATATCCACCATCCCACCACGGTTCCTTCTTCCCCTACTTTCATCTCTAACCTAAAACCCACTCCTTGTCCTCCCCCTCTACTCCACTCCGCCACCCGTGACTCCCATTCCATCGAGCTTTTCAAGATCCGAGCATTCAATGTTGCTGTAACCACAAGAGGGAGGGGAAGAGTGAAGTAGGGGAGTTCGGTTTTTATTTGTGTTCTTTTTAAATAATGATGATATGGCATCCTAAATATTATGTAAGACAACGGCTATCTGCTTAACCTTGTAAACGAGACCTTAAATAAACGAAAACTTCGTCCTAGACCCTTAAATGCGAATTTTGAAAGCTGGTTTCCCAAAATAGAAATCAAGTCAAAGTTTGTTTCATTTTTATGCATTTTTCCCTAATTTATATGTACTAATGATATAAAGATGTTTGCTTTATATCATTTAGCACATATTTTTATGATAATCAATCTCGTGCATTGTTCAAGCGTTAAACCAATAGTTATTTTGTTTTCTTGAAAATGGTAGTGGATCCTTCTGTTGCTTGTTTGCATACACTCTGATACTTCCCGTATATGTTTTCTGTTAGTTTTTGTTTTACAAGTTGATAATATTCATAGAAACGACGTGTCTACCTCTTGAAACAGATAAAAAGTCTGCATACATCCTAACCACTCCAAGGCTATCCTTCTGTAGGGATAAAATTGGCTTCGATTGAAAATTTATGATTAGAGCAGGTGTTTCGCATTTGGAACCTCCAATTGTGACAAAGAGATGTATCATGAAACAACTGTTGTATTCCAGTGAGAAGGAAAGTTAGAATGAAAAACGTAAGAAAAGATCTTCATCTCTGAATCAATACTAATTGAATGTCAACATTAATGATGTGCATCAAGATGTACTGAATCAATTCCCTTATCAAGTGTAATTAACATGAGATTAAAACTGATTAATGATTCAAATTTTTTCTTATGTTTCTCATCATAACTTCCATTCTCACACGATCTTTTATGTATACAACAATTATAACATTTATATTTCTTTTTATTTATGAATTTTTGAATTTAAAATCAAACCGAAGGATAAAATAGTAATTTTAGATTGCGTTTGGTAATAATGACACCAACTTGAAATAAAAGTTATTTGACTTTTTTTAATGGTTTTGTGACTTTTTATTTTCTAGAGTTTCTTAAACCCATTTGTTTAAAAAATTAGTTTTCAGTTTAGTTTAAAATTTTCACACTGTTTTTGTTGTGAAGTTTAAGTGGTCTTCGTACCTTCACAATGTTTTTGTGAAGTTTCAGTGTTATTTTGTGATCTCACGAAAACAAGTTGGTCTCACGTGAACTCAACCCTATATATAGCGAATGATCGTGTGAAAAAAAGAGTTAAGATAAGAAGCGTAAAAAACGATCCCGACCCTTGATCACATTGAACCTCAAACTCACCCATGAATCATACTTGATATCTCATCCTAATGTACAAATTATCTTTCATAAAAAGTAATTAATTTTGCTTTGTTCGAATATCCATCAAATCTCTTATTGAAAAAAAAAAACATATAAAATGATGGTGTGATGAATGATGAGTGATGACTTTTGCAAATGGGAAGTGAATTCCACTTCATGCTGATTCCATTTGGATAGAAGCAATGATTGTTGACTCAACATTATCCATCCCATCTAACCAAATCCAAAATCCAAATAAAATATAATTATTAATATTTAAAAATTCCAAATATTTATTATTTATCATGGATTATATTAATTTTTTATAACCTTTTCATTTTTAAGTATTTGTAAAGGTTTATCTTTTTATACATTAGAATGGTACTTGTACAATACGGTAAGATGCATCTTAATTTTAATGTTTGTTTTATTTTTTGTCTCTGTCGATGTTATAAAACGATTTTATGTGGTTTTGGAAACACGATAACGTTCTAATTTTTAAATAAAATATAAACTTGAAGATATTTTTAAAATTTTGAAAAAAAAATATATATTAATATTAAATTAACAATTTCAAAGTTTTCGTTTTTTATAATTCATTTTTATCATAATTTAATTTAGACTTGAAATGAAGTAATTTATTTTTGCTTTAATAATACAAGTTTTTATAAAAAAAACTATAATTAAGTGTTCTGTTATGACTCAATGATTATTCTAATTATATTTTAGTTTTTTATATCTAAACTGAGATGTTTATCTTTATTTGATTATGTTTATCTGTTGTTAGTTATACGGATTTGAACATAGAACTTCAATAAGTTGTATTTATACATAATTTAATTGTAATATTAAATTTTAAGTAATATGCATCGATAAACAATACTTTATGCATAAAAAATGGTTTTTAAAAGTTTTTATCAAAGGGAAAATTGCATCAAAATGGAACCAACTTTCACAAAACATTAAAATCGAGATGTTTATCAAATGTTTTATGATATAGTATAGATATAGAGGATCATCGTGCAATGCAACGAGATACATCTCGATTTTAATGTTTTGTTGTATTATTTCTCTGTCGATGTTTTATGTGTTTTGAAGTAAAATAATGATGTTTTTATTTTTCAGTGAAATATAAATTTGAAGATATCACAAAATTTAAAAAAATATATTGATATTAATATCAAATTAACTATTTAAAAATTCTCGTTTTTTGTGTAATTTCTTTAATTCAAATTTTTTATTATAATATAATTTAGGTTTAGTAACAAATCAATTTATTTTTAGTTTAATAATATAATTTTTCATAAATATAATAACTAAGTATTCTATTAAAACTCAACGATTATCCTAATTATATTTTAAATTTTTTATATTTAAAATGTGATGTTTATCATGTATATGATTATGTTTATCTGTAATTAGTTACACGAATTCAAAAGTTGAGGTTTAATAAGTTGTACTTATGCACAATTTACTT